TATAAGGTGTAAACTGTTCCTTTCCCATTAGCAGCACCCCTCAGTTTGTTGTCCATCACACTTTTAGATTCCTCATCAATACGCTTTGAGAAAATACTTTTAAAAATTGATTTGAGCTGCAAATACAGTAGAAATGCCATATAATTCAGGCCAAACTCTGCTATCAACTCTTTAAATGGAATGATATCTTCGTCCCCACCTGACTGATGTTTTGACGTTGCCAGGTACCATTAGCCAGTGTCTTACCACCTGCAGTAAACAAGGGGTTATTCCATATTGGACATGAAGGATGTTCCATTGATAGATAACCTTTTATGTCGTCTGGTTTGCTTAATATAAGGAATTTGACATGATTTATACTTTTACTTTGATACTTAAGTATATTTTAGCAATTACATTTACTTTTGATGCTTAACTATATTTAAAAACAAATACTTTTAGAATTTTATTGAAGTAGTATTTTACTGGGTGACTTTCACTTTTGCTAATTTGCATATGATCCTTGCCTGGCTTTGGTAGCAGAACGTATACTCACCGGCATTGACTGATTATCATTTATGTAATTGTATAGTAAAACAAGGAGTGGAGACAATGTGTTCTGGAAACATTTGTAAAATTCTACACTGTACCCATCACCTGGGGTTTTTCCAGCGGAGAGGACTCTAATGGCAGATATGATTTCAGTTTCCAGTACAGGTGCCTCCATAACCTTTCTATGATTCCCCTTAAATGTACTACACAAAGGATTTTTTAAAACTTTTTGCATTGTAATTTCAGAAAATGTCCATACTATATCTGTGGACGGAATGGACGTGTTTCACAGTATTACTTACCCGCCAGTGTTGTGATTGGCTGTGATATTCGCCTATTCGCATCCTGTAGCACTAACTCCAAAACGTTTTGGGACACTGTAAAGTCCATGGAAAATAAGAGCACCTCCTCCCAACTGCCCACTGCACTGAGGCTAGGAAACACTGTCACCACCGATAAATCTACAATAATCGAGAATTTCAACAAGCATTTTGCTACGGCTGGCCATGCTTTCCACCTGGCTACCACTACTCCGGCCACCAGCTCTGCACCCTCCGCTGCAACTTGACACTCTAGATCCAAACTGTTACAGACCTATATCCATCCTGCCCTGCCTTTCGAAAGTATTTGATAGCCAAGTTAACAAACAGATCACCGACCATTTCGAATCCCACCGTACCTTTTCCGCTATGCAATCCGGTTTCCGAGCTGGTCATGGGTGCACCTCAGCCACGCTCAAGGTCCTAAACGATATTATAACTGCGATCGATAAAAGACAGTACTGCGCAGCCATCTTCATCGACCTGGCCAAAGCTTTCGACTTTGTCAACCACCGCATTCTTATTGGCAGACTAAATAGCCTTGGTTTCTCTAATGACTGCCTCACCTGGTTCACCAACTACTTCTCAGATAGAGTTCAATGTGTCAAATCGGAGGGCCTGTTGTCTGGACCTCTGGCCGTCTCTATGGGGGTGCCACAGGGTTCAATTCTCGGGCCGACTCTATTCTCTGTGTATATCAATGATGTCGCTCTTGCTGCTGGTGACGCTCGGATCCACCTCTATGCGGATGACACCATTTTGTATACATCTGGCCCTTCATTGGACACTGTGTTAACAAACCTCCAAACGAGCTTCAACGCCATACAACACTCCTTCCGTAGCCTCCAACTGCTCTTAAACACTAGTAAAACTAAATGCATGCTCTTCAACCGAATGCTGCTTGCACCCGCCCACCCGACTAGAATCACTACTCTTGGCGGGTCTGACCTAGAGTATGTGGACAACTACAAATACCTAGGTGTCTGGTTAGACTGTAAACTCTCCTTCCAGACTCACATTAAGCATCTCCAATCAAAAGTTAGATCTAGAATCGGCTTCCTATTTTGCAACAAATCCTCCTTCACTCATGCTGCCAAACATGCCCTCGTAAAACTGACTATCCTACCGATCCTTGACTTCGGCGATGTCATTTACAAAATAGCCTCCAACCCTCTCCTCAGCAAATTGGATGTAGTCTATCACAGTGCCATCCGTTTTGTCACCAAAGCCCCATATTCTACCCATCATTGTGACCTGTACGCTCTTGTTGGCTGGCCCTCACTACATATTCGTCGCCAAACCCACTGGCTCCAGGTCATCTATGAATCACTGCTAGGCAAATCCCCGTCTTATCTTAGCTCACTGGTCACCATAGCAACACCCACCCGTAGTATGCGCTCCAGCAGGTATATCTCACTGGTCATCCCCAAAGCCAACACCTCCTTTGGCCGCCATTCCTTCCAGTTCTCTGCTGCCAATGACTGGAACGAACTACAAAAATCTCTGAAGCTGGAGTCTCTTATCTCCCTCATTAACTTTAAGCGTCAGTTGTCAGAGCAGCTTACCGATCACTGCACCTGTACACAGCCATTCTGAAATTAGCCCACCCAACTACCTCATCCCCATATTGTTATTTATTTTGCTAATTTGCACCCCAGTATCTCTATTTGCACATCATCTTTTGCACATCTATCATTCCAGTGTTAATTACGAAATTGTAACTATTTTTGCACTATGGCCTATTTATTTATTGCCTTACCTCCATAACTTACTACATTCGCACACACTGTATATATATTTTCTGTTGTATTTTTGACTTTATGTTTTGTTTACCCCATATGTAACTCTGTGTTGTTGTTCTAATCGCACTGCTTTGCTTTATCTTGGCCAGGTCGCAGTTTTAAATGAGAACTTGTTCTCAACTGGCTTACCTGGTTAAATAAAGGTGAAATAAAACATTTTTTTATTCCCTTGTCAAAATGTTTTATTATATATTGTATTATTTGTTGTCAAAATGGGAAAGCGCTTCTGACATTGTGGCTGTGTTATCTAGTGGAAATTGCTCTGTAATTTCGTGGTTGCTAAAATTCTACACTGTTCGCTCAATTTCAATTTATGTGAGAAAACGAGCACTGAATAGTGTAGGGAATCATTGTACCATCTAAATCGCTCTGAAATATATTTTCAATAACAACAAATATCGTTTTTACAGCTGTTTGAAGCTGGTGGACCAAAACCGAAAGTAAAAGCCCCAAGAGCGAATTGAGCCTTTTACTTTCGGTTTTGGTCCACCAGCATCAAACAGCTGTAAAAACGATATCTGAAAGAGATTCTCTTAGCCACTAAAATGCTGACACTTGTGAGAGTCTAAAAGAGATTCTCTTGTGAGAGTCTAAAAGAGATTCTCTTAGACACTAAAATGCTGACACCAGTGAGAGTCTGAAAGAGATTATCTTAGCCACTAAAATGCTGACACCAGTGAGAGTCTGAAAGAGATTCTCTTAGCCACTAAAATGCTGACACCTGTGAGAGTCTAAATGAGATTCTCTTGTGAGAGTCTAAAAGAGATTCTCTTAGACACTAAAATGCTGACACCAGTGTGAGTCTAAATGAGATTCTCTTAGCCACTAAAATGCTGACACCTGTGAGAGTCTAAAAGAGACTGTTTTTAGTCCATCGAAGAGCAGGCGGACCCCCTCGAACCTGACCTCTTTTCCAACACACTTGCCCAGGAATTCTGATGGGAAAACACTCATGTCATCTTAGAGCAGTGGTCACCAACCTTTTCTGAGTCAAGATCACTTTTGGAGTCAAAAGCCAAGCTGAGATCTACCCAAAAAACTTGTACAAAATACATGATTTAAAAAATGTAAACTTATGCAACATGAACCTAATAAAAACAGTTCTGGAATGAGGTTTGTGCAGTAGGCCTAATACATTATCACAGCATATTGGCTATATGCTTGGCCTGTCAATATTGTTCTTCTCAGACCATATTATATTTCAAAACTTGAGCTATGATAACAAAATACAGTGAGCTCCAAAAGTATTGGGACAGTGACACATATTTTGTTGTTTTGGCTCTGTATTCCAGCACTTTGGATTTGAAATGATACAATGACTGGTGAGGGTAAAGTGCAGATTGTCAGCTTTAATTTTAGGGTATTTTCATCCATATCGGGTGAACCGTTGAGAAATTACAGCACTTTTGTACATAGTCCCCCCATTTTAAGGGACCAAAAGTATTGGAACAAATTCACTTGTATGTGTACTAAAGTAGTAAAAGGTTAAGTATTTGGTCACATATTCATAGCACGCAATGACTACATCAAGCGGGTGACACTACAAATTTGTTGGATGCATTTGCTGTTTGTTTTGGTTGTGTTTCGGATTATTTTGTGCCAAATAGAAATTAATGGTAAATAATGTATTGTGTCATTTCTGGAGTCATTATTATTGTAAATTAGAATAGAATATGTTTCTAAACACTTCTATATTAATTTGGATGCTACTATGATTACAGATAATCCTGAAGTAACCGTGAATAATGATGAGTGAGAAAGTTACAGACGCACAAATATCATACCCCCAAGACATGCTAACCTCTCACCATTACAATAACAGGGGAGGTTAGCATTTTTTGGGGGGGTATGATATTTGTGCGTCTTTAACTTTTCACAAACTGTACATGGATGTAGACCCCTTCCACAGTGATCATCTCCATGAAGTAGTTCTGGTTGTGTTTCTTCTCTGTGCTCTCCAGTCGGTTGGCGTTGTTCTTGAACAGGTCATTGAAGAGCTAGGGAGTTCAAAACAAATATCAACATCACTTTAAAATGCAGCAGAGAACATAACAACATGAAAGAACACTTCCAGCAGTGGTGTTATATTTCTAGGCTCTCCTAACTAAAAACACTTGTCAGCTGAGGTAAGCCTGTGAGAGTGTGGCAGTCTGTGTGTGCCAGACACAGGTCGGAAAAGTATTAGTTTCTCTTTCAAATATTTAATGTGCATTTGATTTAGCTTCCCCAGTCTAATGGAACCAATGGAATAGTGCAAAGTCAAAACTCCCAGCCCCCCACCCCAACCTAGCAGGCTAGGTAAGCCAAATCAAGTGCACCTAAAATATTTGAAAGTAAACAAATACATTTAGATCCAGGTGTGGTGTGTGTCTGTGACCACCTTCTTGTCATTCTCTGACGTGGGACTGAGGATGGTCAGCTCTGGCTGGCTGGGTTTGGGGCTTGGGCGATTCACAAAGGACTGGAGGAATGGCTCCAAATGCTGCACTTTCTGAGATGGCAAAAACATAGAGGAGATTCCTTATACATCACCTGCCAGTTTATTCGGAAATGTTCCACAGGGATGTTGGTCCATGCTGAAGCGGTGGCATCACACAGTTGCTGCAGATTGGACGGCGGTACATTGATGCTGCGAACAGCCCGTTCCATTTCATCCCAAAGATGCTCTATTTTGTTGAGGTCTGGGGACTGCACAGGCCACTCAAACTGAACTCGCTGTCATGTTCCAGGCGATTTTTTTCCACTCCTCAATTGTCCAGTGTGGGTGATCGTGTGCCCACTGGAGCCGCTTCTTCTTGTTTTTAGCTGATAGAAATGGAACCCGGTGTGGTCGTCTGCTGCAATAGCCCATCAGTGACAAGGATCGATGAGTTGTGTGTTCCGAGATGTCGTTCTGCGCACCACTGTTGCAATTCGCCGTTATTTGTCTGTTTGTGGCCCACCTGTTAGCTTGCACAATTCTTGCCATTTTCCTTCGATTTCTCTCATCAACGAGCTGTTTTCACCAACAGGACTGTCGCTGACTGGATGATTTTAGTTTGTCGCACCATTCTTGGTAAACCCTAGACACTGTCGTGCGTGTCTGTAGGAGCAATCCATTTTCGTGAACGGGGTGGTGTACCACATAAACTGCACTCTCAAACTGAGATAGTTTGAACTGAAACAGTTACATTAGTTATGTTACATTGGAGACAATGGATCCCTGCTGATCCCATTTATTTCAACTGGCATACAATAATAACATAGCTGACATGAGTTATATGTGGATTCCACAGGCATGTTGGGCTTACATTCCTAAAGGACTATCCCGGAATTCACAGGAGGCTGCTGAGATCAGACAGATCATAATATTGGCTGGAATGGAGTAAATGGAATGGTATCAAACGTATGGAAACCATGTGTTTGATGTGTTCGATACCATTCCATTAATTCTGTTCCAGCCATTACTATGAGCCCGTCCTCCCCAATTAAGGTGCCACCGGCCGCCTGTGGCAGGAATTATTTTACCATGATGCCCCCACAACATTCTTTCCCCACCCAAGTCAAAAAAGCATGACATACTTATTTTCTCAGTTTGCTGGGCACTCAGTTGATGATTTTCCATGTGGGAAAATAAACAATGTAAAACGCAAATAACTTCAACAGGAGAGCAGGTTGTGTGAGATGTTATTAACATAGAACAGCACAAACAGATCTGGGACCAGGCTACTTGGCCAGTGTTGCATACCTAGATTGACATCAGGCAGCATCTTGTCCACGAACTGAGAGGCCAGACCCCGAGGAGATGGGAAGTCTGCCAGCAGCTGACTGTTGCTCAGCTCAGGGTGCTGGAGCAGTTTCTGGAAGATAGACTGATAGCCAACAATATTTACTTTGTTTACAGATTCATAGAGGGCTGACAGAACAGCTTTTTGTTATTTATTTAGAACAATGGAAATGTGTCTTTGGCTCCCAACCCCCTTGAGACAGCACACACACTTGAGAGACTGGAAGCAATGCAGGGTAAACCACAGTAACCCTATATTTGGTGTTCAGTGGTAGATTCTGACCCCACCAGCCCTAGGATTTGAACCATCAACCCTTTGGTTACTAATCCGCCTCTCTAACCTCTACACTTACTGCAGCCACGTATTCATATGGTGACAGACCACAAAGCTATTTCTGAAGTAAGACCTCTGTTGTTTTACTTGTGTAGGGTGAAGTTGCCCCTAGAAGCTGATCTTGGGTCAGTTTAGCATTTTCCTTACTAATGGTTAAGGTTATGATTGGGGGAGGGAAGCTGATCCTAGATCTGTACCTAAGGGAAACTTCACCCCAGAGCTTGTTTACTCCATAATGACTACCTGGAGGTACTCCTGGAACTCCTCCCGCTTGGAGGTCAGGAGCTCATAGTTACATTTTTTACATTTTACATTTTAGTCATTTATCAGACGCTCTTATCCAGAGCGACTTACGGTTAGTGAGTGCATACATTTTTTCATACTGGCCACCCGTGGGAAACGAACCCACAACCCTGGTGTTGCAAACGCCATGCTCTACCAACTGAGCTACACAGGGCTTAGGGTGTAGCTACATAGTTCTTGGGGTTGAGGATTATTTTGTAAGGGAGCTGGGCTTCTGGCCTGTTGTGACAGAGGAGCAAATAAACAACATTTCCTAGATGAGGAGGATCTCAGACAATTAATCAAACAATGTGAAAATATGGTTATAGCTATTCTTAGAAATGAACACAACACCAACTCTCATGGGTGGAATTATTAATTGTTACTATTTGTGAGAAGAACCATTTGGCCAATGTACGAGATTAATGTTCTCTTATGTTCTGGCTATCAAAATACAATGGATGGTGAGTGGTTACAGGAACTGAAACATGAAGAAATCACAAAAGCATAATACTTACCATGGAAAAATTCCTGATATCTTCTGTACACAGACCAGTGCTCGGTCTCATGACCAACTGCCAAATAGGAAGGGGAAAAATACATCACTATTACACAGTGGCGGCTCCTGAAAAAATTCTCAGGAGGGGCAATTTTTCTGATGATTTAGGTGACCTACACACGTGCACGAGTCCGTGCACGCGATTCCAGATATCTTTACCTCTGAATAAACTGCCTTTATTATACCATATCCACCCTGTCCAAAGTCTCTACTTGGTCTCAGTTCTCCAGTAAACTTGTGATTATCAACAGTACACAACGGTAACAAACAATTGGGGGAACTCACGGGGCAGATAGTAACCACTTAAAAGGAAGCGATTCCCAAACCTTCCATAACAAAGCCATCACCTACAGAGAGATGAACTTGGAGAAGAGTCCCCTAAGTAAGCTTGTCCTGGGCCTCTGTTCACAAACACAAACAGACCCCACACAGCCCCAGGACGACAACAACAACAACAACAACAACAACACAATTAGACCCAACCAAATCATGAGAAAACAAAAAGAGAATTACTTGACACATTGGAAAGAACAAACAAAAAAACAGAGCAAACTAGAATGCTATTTGGCCCTAAACAGAGAGTACACAGTGGCAGAATACCTGACCACTGTGACTGACCCAAACTTAAGGAAAGCTTTGACTATGTACAGACTCAGTGACCATAGCCTTGCTATTGAGAAAGGCCGCCGTAGGCAGACCTGGCTCTCAAGAGAAGACAGGCTATGTGCACACTGCCCACAAAATGAGGTGGAAACTGAGCTGCACTTCCTAACCTCCTGCCAAATGTATGACCATATTAGAGACACATATTTCCCTCAGATTACAGCGATCCACAAAGAATTCGAAAACAAACCCAATTTTGATAAACTCCCTTATCTACTGGGTGAAAAACCACAGTGTGCCATCACAGCTGCAAGATTTGTGACCTGTTGCCACAAGAAAAGGGCAACCAGTGAAGAACAAACACCATTGTAAATACAACCCATATTTATGTTTATTTATTTTCCCATTTGTACTTTAACTATTTGCACATTGTAACAACACTGTATATATACATAATATGACATTTGAAATGTCTTTATTCTTTTGAAACTTCTGAGTGTAATGTTTACTGTTAATATTTATTGTTTATTTCACTTTTGTTTACTATCTACTTCCCTTGCTTTGGCAATGTTAACACACGTTTCCCATGCCAATAAAGCCCTTAAATTGAATTGAATTGATAGTAAGGTCGCAATGACACAGAAAGCAGTTCAATGTCGGGGTACAGAGTCGCTCTCTTACCAGGATCGCGGTCCGCTCTGACCAGGGTGAAGGTGGCCGGCTCCACTTCTCTGTCCGGGACTCTGTCATCCAGTCAAGTCTCCCAGCTGTATTGGGATTCAGCTGCCAGCAGCGTTTTCATTATTTAGTCCGTTCGTAGCGGGTATGTACACGATCAACAAGATCAGTCCAAAACCAACCACTGGAAATCCATGGTTGGCAGAATGTTTGTAAACTAAGTCTACAAATTAAAAACATAAAATAACGCCGCACTGCAGGTCGCAACAGAGACGCTGCTAGGCGCCATTGTCTTAGTTACGTTCAACGTTACGTCACGTATGACGAAAGCGCGTAAGTGCAAGCCCACAGACACCCATAGAGAATGTATTGAAAGCTTTGAAATGTGAAAAAAATAGATTTTACATGACAGGCTATGAGAGACTTCTGGGCGATTTTCAACTTGACTGAAATCGCCCCAAAAACGGGCGGGGCCATTTGAAGCACGACTTTAGCCTGATTTGACATTTAGTGGCTGGCAGATCAGACGTGAACACTGATAACTGCTGTTGCCGTGATATAATTGATTAGAAAACAAATCCCTTCCTTTTCCCGTTTGGCAGTGCGTCGCCCATATCGCCCTATTGAACAAGCCGTCCCTGCTATTACATTTAAAAGTGGACATACAGTATATACTCTGAATATCTCTGCAAAATCATCCCTCGTGTATCTGTGTTGATATAAGTGGGAAGCATACAGTGCTTTCAGAAAGTATTAATACCAAATGACTTTTTCCACATTTTGCTTTGTTACAGCCTGAATTCAAAATGGATTAAATATATATTTTCCCCCCATTGACACACAATACCCCTTAATGACAAAGTGAAAACATGTTTTTAGAACATTTTGCTAATTTATTGAAAATATAATACAGAAATATCTAATTTACATAAGTATTCACACTCCTGAGTAAATACTTTGTAGAAACATATTAGGCAGCGATTACAGCTGTGAGTCTTTCTGGGTAAATCTCTAAGAGCTGGGGGGCTCTGAGGTACCAGAACGCATAAAAAGAAAAAACGCTATAATAAAGTATTGCATGCATATCATCGCATTTGCGTAGTGGCATACAGCAGTAGAGTAGAGGTGCTTGTAGAAGTTGCACACATGGGGAAATCTTTTTGTAGCCTAGGGTCTGGGAAAAATGTTGCCTTTTATAAACGTACTTCATGCAATGCTACGTCATTTTAAATCACTGGAGACTTTAGCATAATATTTTTTTATACCGCACAAATGATCGAAATGACTGGCTACTTTGATGCTGACAAACTGAGATCAATAAAAACGACCTTGTTTTGAATCCATCAATTGCCTAGGTCTTGGTGTGTGCAAACACACATATTGTACAATATGAGGAGGAAATTAATCCTAGAAAAGCTTTCCAGTTTCACTGACTCACCCAATGATGTGCAGCTCACTCACCGGCGATTCCCAGTGCACTGGTGCCAAAAGCCTATCTCTCTCTTGTTTTACTTTATAAAACAATGCTGTTCGCTCAATAGACCTATTTGAAAGTTGATCGAATATTTTGGTAGCCTCTACAGACAGATTAGAGTCTTCCCTTTTCAGCAGGAGCCATTTGCTTTCCAACCTTTGTTTTCCCGCAATTGTATTTGAAATATTGCGAAAGGCCTGTCTTGGCGAGAAGTAGAAGCAACTGCAGCCCGCAACTCGGGGTGTTACTGCATGTGGGCATTCCTGCATCTGCTGTACCTTATACTTCTATTGGTACATTTTTTTTTTTACTATGACTCCAGAACATAGGCGGGAGGCAGGGGTGCTCCAGTACAGTAGGTGGCGGTAATGCACCATAATATTGGATGCCAACCACCGATAAACCACACAGAAGAAGAAGAGGCCGGGGGCGACAACGGTAGCTAGTTATAGCTAGTACACACCCGTAGTGTCCTTCGACCCTGCCTGTCGCCACTGTTTTCCCGCAGTTCTGTTAACTATGGTGAGAGCGGTGCTTCTCAGACCATGAGACATCCCGAAAATCGGTCTTCTCACGAAAACGTCTGTAAAGGTGTCCTAAAATTCAAAATCAAATAGCTAAATGATCCATGGTATGACCATGAGGTTAAACTCTGTAACTGTTTTAAAATCACCATTAGCCTCAGTTAAATCCCTGAGCGGTTTCTTCCTCTCCGGCAACTAAGGTAGGAAGGACGCCTGTATCTTTGTAGTGACTGGGTGTATTGATACACCATCCAAAGTGTAATTAATAACTTCACCATGCTCAAAGGGATATTCAGTGCCATAAAAAACAAATGTATAATGTTTTATCTACCAATAGCTGCACTTCTTTGCGAGCCATTGGAAAACCTGCCTGGTCTTTGTGGTTGAATCTGAATTGGAGATAACTGTATGTTTGAGGTACAGAGATGAGACAGTAATTAAAAAATCCTGTTAAACATTAAGTTGCACAGTCCATGCAACTTAATGTGACTTTTTAAGCACATTTTTACTCCTGAACTTATTTAGGCTTGCCATAACAAAGGGGTTAAATACTTATTGAATACTTATTGACACAAGACATTTCGGTTTTTCCTTTTTAATGAATTAGTAAAACATTTTTTTTACATAATTCCACTTTGACGTTATGGGGTATTGTGTGTAGGCCAGTGACAAAACATCTCAATGTAAACCATTTTAAATTCAGGCTGTAACACAACAAAATGTGGAAAAAGTAAATGAGTGTGAATGCTTTCTGAAGGCACTGCATATGGTATCTGAACCATTTGATGGAAATAAAGCCTGACAGAACACTGATAAGAGAAGCAAAGCATTGTCATTATGTGACGTTTAGCTCAGTCAGCGACTGGCAGCATGATAATAGATCACGAAGACGAATTTCATCCAGCACTAATGGAGTGAAGAACAGCTTTGTTTACCTATTGTAGATTTGAACCTATTCAAAAAAGCATTTTAGACCATCATATACAGTATTAGTAGTATTGGTTTCACCTGCAGACCACACTGATCCCAGAGCAGCCTACAGTGGGGAAAAAAAGTATTTAGTCAGCCACCAATTGTGCAAGTTCTCCCACTTAAAAAGATGAGAGAGGCCTGTAATTTTCATCATAGGTACACGTCAACTATGACAGACAAAATGAGAAAAAAAAATCCAGAAAAATCACATTGTAGGATTTTTAATGAATTTATTTGCAAATTATGGTGGAAAATAAGTATTTGGTCAATAACAAAAGTTTCTCAATACTTTGTTATATACCCTTTGTTGGCAATGACACAGGTCAAACGTTTTCTGTAAGTCTTCACAAGGTTTTCACACACTGTTGCTGGTATTTTGGCCCATTCCTCCATGCAGATCTCCTCTAGAGCAGTGATGTTTTGGGGCTGTCGCTGGGCAACACAGACTTTCAACTCCCTCCAAAGATTTTCTATGGGGTTGAGATCTGGAGACTGGCTAGGCCACTCCAGGACCTTGAAATGCTTCTTACGAAGCCACTCCTTCGTTGCCCGGGCGGTGTGTTTGGGATCATTGTCATGCTGAAAGACCCAGCCACGTTTCATCTTCAATGCCCTTGCTGATGGAAGGAGGTTTTCACTCAAAATCTCACGATACATGGCCCCATTCATTTTTTCCTTTACACGGATCAGTCATCCTGGTCCCTTTGCAGAAAAACAGCTCCAAAGCATGATGTTTCCACCCCCATGCTTCACAGTAGGTATGGTGTTCTTTGGATGCAACTCAGCATTCTTTGTCCTCCAAACACGACGAGTTGAGTTTTTACCAAAAAGTTATATTTTGGTTTCATCTGACATTCTCCCAATCCTCTTCTGGATCATCCAAATGCATTTTAGCAAACTTCAGATGGGCCTGGACATGTACTGGCTTAAGCAGGGAGACACGTCTGTCACTGCAGGATTTGAGTCCCTGGCGGCGTAGTGTGTTACTGATGGTAGGCTTTGTTACTTTGGTCCCAGCTCTCTGCAGGTCATTCACTAGGTCCCCCCGTGTGGTTCTGGGATTTTTGCTCACCATTCTTGTGATCATTTTGACCCCACGGGGTGAGATCTTGCGTGGAGCCCCAGATCGAGGGAGATTATCAGTGGTCTTGTATGTCTTCCATTTCCTAATAATTGCTCCCACAGTTGATTTCTTCAAACCAAGCTGCTTACCTATTGCTGCTTACCTACAATTTTGTTTCTGGTGTCCTTTGACAGCTCTTTGGTCTTGGCCATAGTGGAGTTTGGAGTGTGACTGTTTGAGGTTGTGGACAGGTGTCTTTTATACTGATAACAAGTTCAAACAGGTGCCATTAATACAGGTAACGAGTGGAGGACAGAGGAGCCTCTTAAAGAAAAAGTTACAGGTCTGTGAGAGCCAGAAATCTTGCTTGTTTGTAGGTGACCAAATACTTATTTTCCACCATAATTTGCAAATAAATTAATAAAAAATCCTACAATGTGATTTTCTGGATTTTTTTTCTCAATTTGTCTGTCATAGTTGACGTGTACCTATGATGAAAATTACAGGCCTCTCTCATCTTTTTAAGTGGGAGAACTTGCACAATTGGTGGCTGGCTAAATACTTTTTTTCCCCACTGTATACTGTAGGTCAGGGATGGGCAACTTTGATTGGGCCTACAAAAGGGGGGACGCGGCCGCCAGTTGCCCATCCCTGCTATAGGTAATACTTAAGCCCCTGGGCCTGGTTTCACCTGTAAATCACACTGATCCCAGAGCAGCCTATAGGTAATACTTAATAATAATAACTTTATTTGTATCACTATACAAGTAACAATGTGCTTCACATCATAAAAACAAAACAACATTTGGTTAAGACATTAAAAGCATCTTCGTAAAGCCCCTGGGCCTGGTTTCACCTGTAGACCACATAGTCGATACAGAACACGGGATCCTCTCCCTGTTGATGTCGTCGTCGTACAAGTCTATGTAGGGGTCCAGGCTGAGAGGTTGGGGGGGGGGTGATTACTGACGGCCTCCATGGGGGAGTAATCTTTCAGAACTATCATGGCCTCTTCCATCTGACAGAGAATGAAATCTGGGCCCGTATTCACAAAGGATCTCGAGAGTAGGAGTGCTGATCTAGGATCAGGTTCACCCTCTCCATTTAATCTTAATCATTACAATCTGATCCTATATCAGCATGCCTACTCCGACACTCTTGTGAATACAGGCCCAGGCTTGTGTGGAACGGCACAGAACTGCAGGAAGGTAAAAGGGGAAACACACTGCAAAGGTCCACTGTGATTGAGTGACATATACAGGAAGTACTGTAATAAACTAAGGAAATCTAGTACAGGATCAAACATAGGATATGTATTCACTGACAGCAGCTCTAGTAGGGGTAAAATACAGAGTGGGAAGTATCTAGTGGGTCAGCTACGGAAGACTCTGGGAGAAGAAGAAGAAGAAGAAGAAGAGGAACATACTGAGATGCAAGTCTGCTGTGCAATGCTGTGGGAATGATGATGATGATGATACATAGTCAGAGGAAGCAGGGCAGTGGTCTCGCCAAGTGAATCACACATGATCATGAACCATTTTTACACTAGTTCAACATTACATATTTTCTTAGCAGATACCCTTAAATGATATTCCTACTTGAGATTAATAACAGCAAACCCAGTAACTTTGACAACTTTGTACGTTCACTAATGATCTTGAAAGGAGTTAGGCTCAGGGCTCTTTGAATGGATATTTCTTAATATTTTCCCCATTCATCTTTGTACAAAGAAAGAAACAAATCATGGTATTGAATAAGCAAATGTATAGGCCAGTACATCAACAGTGTGCCTTCCTAACTAATCTTGGCTCCACACTGCCACCCAGGGCCACACACTGTACACCCCACCATGTCGTCCTCTCCCTCCATGGTGGTGGTCTAGAACAGGGTTTCCCAAACTCGGCCCGGAGGCCACCCCTGGCTGCACGTTTTGGTTTTTGCCCTAGCACTAACCAACTCATCATCAAACTTTTATTATTTTAATCAGCTGTGTGCTAGGGTGTGTGTGTCCTGACCTCATCGCTGTGGCAGAACATGGGGGTGAAGACGTTGTCCAGCAGGAACAGGAAGTGCTCGAAGGCCTCGAACAAGAACAGGCAGCGCATGGTCTGCAGCTTCACCACCCCGGCATGAGGCCCTCAGCAACTGGGGAGAGAAACACATCATATCAGCATGACTTAACCAAGCTGCCATTTGTAATAATGAACATTCTGCTTAGAAAAAACTGTTCATATGAGTACCTGGACTTCAAAACCCCTTGTTTTTTGCTTGCAGTTGCATAACAGTTTAAATAAACATGGTTTCACCAGCAGCAGACAGGCTGCTCTAGCAGACTTCTTGCACCATGTAAACCATTCAACTTCGCAGACGTGCTCGCAGTGCCACTTGACACCAATTTACATTTCCATAAGTGTCACTTGGTGATAAGTAAGTCACCACAGACAGAGGAAGACAAGAGTAGTGAATGAGAGGGAGGAACTACAACCAGTGCAATAGCTAATTAAGGAATGTGTATACAGTGTGAAATAAATACATCTTTAATTAGCCTATTAGAGGGCTAGGTGGACTCATTGCCTTATTTCCTGTGTAATGAAGGGCAGAGGGGAGTGGAATCAAGACCTGGACCTGGTCCAGAAACAACCCCTTCCCTTTCTGTGATTGCAGATCTTAAGCCTTCCAATTTGACTTTGGAGAGCTTCTGCCATATTACTTACACTTATCCATTTCCTCCAGATTTCCAAACACGGAAGAATAGAGGCTAGGGGGGTTGTTTCTGGGACAGGACATAGTTGTCGGTCTGTATTGTATCTTTATCTGGGATAATGGTGAATGGCCAAAGCCTGCTTACCCATAGTGAGGCAGAACTGAAGCACATGCACCGCCCCCTCCTGCGTGAGGAAGTTCATGAAGCAGAAGAGCATGTCCTGCTGCTCCCTGATTTTCTTCAGCTCTAGCTTCAGCACTTGAGTGAGAGAGAGAGAGGGTTATCAGACCTAGGAGGAAATGAGTTGTAGGGAAGGGCAGTATAAGGGAGAAGAGGGAAAGTTACTAGGCTACTTACAGAGGGCTTCTTGTTGCAAACGTCACAGTACTTGTGCAGGAAGGGAACCAAGGTTGAGCTTGGTTCCATAGCGGCCTCTGGAGGAGAGTTGAATATGAGAAGCAAACGGTTCACGGTGTCCTAAAATGGGAATGAGCATTGATTTACAATTGAACATCTATGTCAATTTTGGCTTGTTTATGTCCTGGGAGAAACAGCAAATCGAATCAAGACTGAAAACAAAGTTTTTCTATATGAATCAGAATATAAATGATCTCTGATGTGCCAATGAAACATTTTACATATTAAATAATATGAAGGTTTCAAAGATCTGATGACTAGAATAGTCTAAAGCCTATTTTATCTTTTGAGTTCGGCATACAAGCACAGCGGCAACCGAAACGCAGTGTCACTCAGCTCATCCACAAACGCCTCATCTGTAATATCCCTTCACAGCAGAAAACAACCAGGTCATATGTCTGCACATACATATGTCACAACAGGTATTTAATGCAACATGAAGCACTATTTGCGAGGAATACAGTAACACACCTGAGGTGTTCAACAAGGTAAATAGTTCGCTAACGTTAGCTAACATATTCCATTTGTTTTGTGTTAGTCGCTAACGTTAGCGAACTGTCTCAAGTGCAGAGAAGAAGATAGTCTGCGCCAAAATAACGGTGTGTTCGTAAATTCACTATGGAGTGTCACATAACATTCAGAGGGGTCGGAAATTCACAGCGTTGTCAGATTGTCCGTTCGTAAATTCAGAGCGTTTCGTTCGCTGAGCGTTCAGAATGCACACTGGACCCTCTAGCGGAGGAGTAGGGTTGATCCGAGCGTTCTGACCTCACAACGGCAACCAAGTTAACTGGCTAAAGTTAGCTAGCTTGCTAGCTACTTCCAGACATAAATGAGAGAACACCTCACTCTGACCATGTTAAATGAGAACACCTCACTCTGACCATTTTCTCTCCCTAGCAGAGCTGGTTAGGCTGTTTTCATGTTATCTAATGCATTGGTGACTGTAACTGTGCTGCTGGCAACAATTTCATTACTTTTTTTTTGCCGAAGTTTACTGACACCGGTCATATTCAACGGGTGTTGATGTTCGTAAATTCATCAGTTATTCTGCACTCTTGCACACTCAGACTTGAGTCATCTGATATCGGAATAGATAGCCAGAGTGAATTTACGAACACACCCTAAGTGTCTGTTTCAGGTCTAAACTGCCGCTAAAAATAATAAAGTGGCCATGTAGACTTTCTACTATATTTTGTAGCAATAGCTAAAGTCGTTTTTCAGTTTGAATATTGTCGCTAAAAAGCCACAGTAATCCTTACAAAAAGTAGCTGTTTGACGTTTCACCTTAACATGTTGGAATGTTCATTCAAATCGTTCAACTGAAACTGTTACTCTGGCAATATGTTCATTCGCTGCAAACAGAAGCCTTGTTTAACTCGCCTCTGTACCAGGGATACGCAAAGTTTTCAAGAACCAGTTCCAGAACATTGAAACAGAGCAAAAACATATTACATCTTAGAATGATAGAAGCACTTTTAAGAATGCACAAAAGAAAGGAGATTTTTTTCAATGTCCCATACCTCTGAAAGAGAGGCATCCACTTGAGGGAACTTTCAAGTCCAGCCATGGTTGATAGTTCTCCAATAGTCATGTTGTTCTGTCAATAGATAATAATTTAGATAAATAATGCCAATTAACTCTACTTTCTGTTTTTTTAATTAGTCTGTTAAATATTGATAAAACCATTAGTCCACCCTGTTGTCACATATAGCCAAATTACTAAAAGTGCTCATGTGGGACATGAAGTGCGCCAGTATACTATTTGGCCATTGGGAGGCAGTAAAACATAAGACTGGGGAATCTTTATTTATGTATTACTGTATTGTGAGAATCTATTCAAATGAACCGTAAACTCACAGGCCTAAGAGTAGGAACAGTACATTCTTCATTCTCAAACTCACAGAAATATAATATGACCAACATCCTAATAAACATTCATTCACACAGTACTTTTGTAGCAGTGGTCTCACCTGTGCCTTTTACACTATATTTTCCCGCAGACTGCACAGCTATGACCCAAGGGAAACAACTGCTGGTTCTGCTGTAAAGACAAATAGAAAACCACACTCACACTTCTACTTACTACATTTTATCTACTTTGCAACTACTTAGCATGTTAGTTAACCCTTCCCCTAACCCTAACCTTCATTTTTAACCTAACTCCTAAACCTAACCTTAACCTTTAACCCCTAACCCCTTAGCCTAGCTAACGTTAGCCAGCTAGCTAACTTTAGCCACCTAGCTAGAATTCATAACATATAATATGTTTTGCAAATTAGTAACATATAATATGAATTGTAATAACATATGATACGAAATGGTTGACGGACATCCACAAATTAATGCATACCATACGAAACATAACATATCATACTAAATGGAGTGTCTCGGATTTACATACAGAATAATAAGAAATGCTCTGAGATCAGGTTGCAGCCCAAGGTTAAGCAGGATAAAGGTGCAAATTGATAATTTGTTGTCTATACTTACCACAATTAAAGCTGCAGGATGAGTCAAGCTAGTTGATGGAGGAATACCTACTTATCATGATAGCCAAATGTCAACATCCCCTCAGGGAAACACTATAGCTGATCGTGGACTTCAGGAAACAGCAGAAGGAGCACACCCCTATCCACATCGACTGGACCGCAGTGGAGAGGGTGGAAAGCTTCAAGTTCCTCGGCGTACACATCACTGACAATCTGAAATGGTCCACCCACATAGACAGTGTGGTGAAGGCGTAACGGCGCCTCTTCAACCTCAGGAGGCTGAAGAAATTTGGCTTCGCCCCTGAGACCCTCACAAACTTTTATAGATGCACAATTGAGAGCATCCTGTCGGGCTGTATCACAGCAGGGCTCTCCAGAGGGTGGTGCGGTCTGCCCAACGCATCACTGGGGGCACACTGCCTGCCCTCCAGGACACCTACACCACCCGATGTCACAGGAAGGCCAAAAGATCATCAAGGACATCAACCACCCGAGCCACTGCCTGTTCACCCCGCTATCATCCAGAAGGCAAGGTCAGTACAGGTGCATCAAAGCTGGGACCGAGAGACTGAAAAATAGCTTCTATCTCAAGGCCAGCAGACTGTTAAATAGCCATCACTAGCTGGCTACCACCCGGCTACTCAACCCTGCACCTTAGAGGCTGCTGCCCTATATACAGTTGAAGTCGGAAGTTTACATACACCTTAGCCAAATACATTTAAATTCAATTTTTCACAATTCCTGACATTTAATCCTTGTAAAGTTAGTCAGTTAGGATCACCACTTTATTTTAAGAATGTGAAATGTCAGAATAATTGTATTTCGGGCAGCCTTCCACAAGCTTCCCACAATAAGTTGGGTGAATTTTGGCCCATTCCTCCTGACAGATCTGGTGTAACTGAGTCAGGTTGTAGGCCTCCTTGCTCGCACACGCTTTTTCAGTTCTGCCCACAAATGTTCTATAGGATTGAGGTCAGGGCTTTGTGATGGCCACTCCAATACCTTGACTTTGTTGTCCTTAAGCCATTTTGCCACAATTTTGGAAGTATGCTTGGGGTCATTGTCCATTTGGAAGACCCATTTGCCATCAAGCTTTAACTTCGTGACTGATGTCTTGAGATGTTGCTTCAATATATCCAAATAATTTTCCTTCCTCATGATGCCATCTATTTTGTGAAGTGCACCAGTCCCTCCTGCAGCAAAGCACCCCCACATCATGATGCTGCCACCCCTGTGCTTCACGGTTGGGATGGTGTTCTTCGGCTTGCAAGCGTTTCCCATTTTCCTCCAAACATAACAATGGTCATTATGGCCAAACAGTTCTATTTTTGTTTCATCAGACCAGAGGACATTTCTCCAAAAAGTATGATCTTTGTCCCCATGTGCAGTTGCGAACCGTAATCTGTCTTTTTATGGCGGTTTTGGAGCAGTGGCTTCTTCCTTGCTGAGCGGCCTTTCAGGTTATGTCGATATAGGACTCGTTCTACTGTGGATATACAGTGGGGTAAAAAAGTATTTAGTCAGCCACCAATTGTGCAAGTTCTCCCACTTAAAAAGATGAGAGAGGCCTGTAATTTTCATCATAGGTACACGTCAACTATGACAGACAAAATTAGGAAAAAAAATCCAGAAAATCACATTGTAGGAATCTTAATGAATTTATTTGCAAATTATGGTGGAAAATAAGTATTTGGTCAATAACAAAAGTTTCTCAATACTTTGTTATATACCCTTTGTTGGCAATGACACAGGTCAAACGTTTTCTGTAAGTCTTCACAAGGTTTTCACACACTGTTGCTGGTATTTTGGCCCATTCCTCCATGCAGATCTCCTCTAGAGCAGTGATGTTTTGGGGCTGTCGCTGGGCAACACGGACTTTCAACTCCCTCCAAAGATTTTCTATGGGGTTGTGATCTGGAGACTGGCTAGGCCACTCCAGGACCTTGAAATGCTTCTTACGAAGCCACTCCTTCGTTGCCCGGGCGGTGTGTTTGGGATCATTGTCATGCTGAAAGACCCAGCCACGTTTCATCTTCAATGCCCTTGCTGATGGAAGGAGGTTTTCACTCAAAATCTCACGATACATGGCCCCATTCATTCTTTCCTTTACACGGATCAGTCGTCCTGGTCCCTTTGCAGAAAAACAGCCCCAAAGCATGATGTTTCCGCCCCCATTCTTCACAGTAGGTATGGTGTTCTTTGGATGCAACTCAGCATTCTTTGTCCTCCAAACACGACGAGTTGAGTTTTTACCAAAAAGTTCTATTTTGGTTTCATCTGACCATATGACATTCTCCCAATCCTCTTCTGGATTATCCAAATGCACTCTAGCAAACTTCAGACGGGCCTGGACATGTACTGGCTTAAGCAGGGGGACACGTCTGGCACTGCAGGATTTTAGTCCCTGGCGGCGTAGTGTGTTACTGATGGTAGGCTTTGTTACTTTGGTCCCAGCTCTCTGCAGGTCATTCACTAGGTCCCCCCATGTGGTTCTGGGATTTTTGCTCACCGTTCTTG